TATCCTTTGATAGAAAATTTTTGTAAAAATTTTATAATTTTATTTGCACAACAAAATATGCTAATTAAAAATATAGACACAATATATGATTCAAGTATACATTCTTATCGTTGAATCTGCACCAGCTGAAAATACCCATGGTTGAATGGAATGAAACATTACATCCAAAATACCAAAATCATTGTACGATTCGTGATCACATAATCGTTTTAGTGGTACAATCAATGGATTTTGCAGTAAATCACTAAAATGTATATTAAAATAAATAATATATAGCCAATAACAATGTGAATTAATTACTAATAAATAATCTTACTTGTACACCATTCCATGAGAAACAATAAGACCTCTATCATCTGCACCAGATGCAAAAAGTGGATATCGCTTGTGAAATGAAACTCCCCTTACACCTGTACCATGTAAACGTAATGTTTGATAAGGCTTTGTACTCAAATCAAGGTCAAACCAAAGCATTTTGCGATCGTAAGTGCCTACTAAAATATTATCGCCTCCTAAAAATATATAAATAAAAATTAAACATACTATTGGAGATTAAAGTATATTACTTAGATACTTTCAAAACTGTTTACCAGGATGTATTGCCATTGACGATATCCATTGTGAATTAGATAACAATTTTTTAATCATTTCCTGTTTTACTAAATCATATATTCGTACATTACGCTGAGTCTGCAATTGTTTTATTAAGATTATTAAACTGTGGCTTTTATATTTTTATATATATATCTAAGTTTCACTTACCGCTACAAACAAATATGGCCTAATTGGATGGAATAAAACACATTGTATTAGACCTTTTGCCTTAGTGAAAGGGATTTGAGACCTTCGTTTTGATAATTGATTTATTAAAACAGATCTGTTTTGTCCATCAGGCATGACAGTGGCAAAATAGTCACCTTTACCATGCCACGTTACTTGTTTAACTATTTTAAAGTGATTTAGAACCATCTTGATGCCATTTAACATATGTTCTCCTTCTGCTGGTTCCCACTGTACAGCAGTTTTAACTCTATCACTAACTGATGCAATAAAAAGCACAATATTAACATAAATCTCACCTTTGTATTACTATTAATAATTTCAAAATTATACTATGTATTATAAATACATGTAAAATTATACCGATAACATCGCTTTGAGGTATTATTTCCAGTAACTGGTCAGTTTTGCTATTAATTAAGCGATCTCCTACTCCAGGATTTATTAAAAGAACTTTTTTATCTGCTGCCACTGCTATAAGAGACAATGATTGATTTGGACACCAGGCTACAGATCTAATTACTCCACCACAAGCCACTGTTTTGACACATCTGCCTGTTGCTATTTCCCATACTGCAAATTAACAATATTATATATTATGAAATCTTCCATCCAAGAATTATATTAACAGTCCATAATATCAATAAAACTTTACCTTTTAGGTTCATATCATCACTACCAGAAGCAATATATTGTCCTGCTGGCTCTATAGAGATACTTCTGACCATGTCTGTATGTCCCTTAAATACCATAGACATTGTTGTAGGGAATGGTTGTAAATCTTTTGGACTAGGTAACTGTGGCACCAATGCTTCAGGTTCTATTGTCAATCTCATCTTCAATGCTCTGGGACACAAATACAAATCGAGGCACCTTTGGAATCTTTCTTTAATATATTTTGGGTAAGCAGGAACTTCACGAAGTGAATTATATTTTTCAGGAATAAAATGTAACTTTCTCTTCCATGGTGTCGTCTGCAACTTATTCCATTCTTTTAGCTCCTTTTTGTCAAATAGATACTCTGGTGGAGGATTATAACTTTCTGCATGTCCAGGTAAATGCCTCTTCGGTGCTGGAATATGTTTATGAATTCTACGCATTTCTTCAGCTTGATCATCTGATTGCCATAACATATAAAATTTTGGTTCATTCTTCTTCTGCTGTCTTTCTTTCTCTAGCTCCGTGGTTGATTTTATCCAACCCATTTTTAAGGCATGAACTAACTTCGATATCTTTTTGGCTTCTGGCTTAGATGGTAAAAATGAACGTTTATGTTCAGGAAATTTACGAACTGGCATCTTCATCACTTCTGAAGTAAACCATTCTACCCAGGGCTGTAATAAGAAAAGTACATGATAAATATAGTCTTTCAATTCTTATTATATTATTATAATCTAAACTTACAGCATATTCATCAAAAGTTACATCAGGAACTTTTTGTCTTTGAATTCTTGTAATCAAATCTATATCTGCTTCACTTAATATAACATCCTGTCCAGTTTGTGGATCTTTTATGGTTCTCCAAAAATCAGGATCGTCCATTCTTTTCAAGAAATTATCCAACTGATCACCTTTTTGGGGCTTTATAATTTTCTTACCATCCCAATCATACCCAATGTGATCATAGTCATCATACCACTTCATAGGTATGTTTCCAACAGTATTTCGAATATCTTCTTCATCTGAACTATCGTATTCATATTCATCTAGTTTTGGAGCTACTGTTGGTACAGTGCTACTAATGTTTTTACTGCTTGTACTATCAGCTACATTTTCTTTACTATTTGTTTCTCTAGATTTTATTAAATTTTGTATCGATATTTTATTTATTTTTTGGTTTAAGTTCTTTGACTGTACATTCTTTTCATGTTTTACTGTATCTTGCTGCAAAACTTTTGAAGAAACTGACTTATTTGATGCATTTATTTTGTTTGTAGAAGACTTGTCTGTCTTATTATACTTTGATGTAATACGCATATCTGTGTTTTCTACTATGAATTTGCCACCTTTCAATTTAGACTTACTGTCCTTCGATATAGCTTTAGTACTGGAAATTTTATTTTTCTTTGCAGGGTCATCATTTTTCTTTTCCAAGGTATCATCCACATCTTTTCCTTCTTCTTCATCAGACGTATCTGCGTAATCAGTTTCAGAGTAATCTTCATCCGAATCAATATCATCTGAATCAGTTTCAAAACTTAAATCATCTTGTTCGTCACCTGACTCAAAGACAATTGGATCTTTCTCGGTATCAGAGTCAGGTATATCTTCATTTTCATTAATTTCTTCATCCGAACTTTCATCATTATTATTTACTTCAGCTTGTAATAAATTTTCAGTACCTGAATCCTAAATGATTGTATTATGTTATTACAGTAGAAAAAAGATATAATCGTTGAGTGTAGGTATGAATTAATTGTAATAAAATTGACTGAAGTCACACTTTTATAAACTTCTATTGGAATATACTAGTAATAATATAAAAGTTTTACCAGTTCTTCTTCAGATTCATATTTAATTGATTCTTTTTCCGTTTTATTGTTTTCAGCGTTAAAGTTCTTTAGCTTCCTTTTCAAATGCTTTTTCTGTTCTTTCATTTTTGAGTTTCATATGTACACAAATAACAAGGAAGGTTAGTTGATCTTCACGTGCACTGAAAGATTCTGAGTATATGCCATTCGTGACGTCACAGATGAGCAGTAGGGTAGAGGGCAGTAGGATTGCCAGGGATGCTCTCACGTTGTGCTTGGTCGACAAGTAAGTCGACTATACTACCCTCTACCCCAACTCTGTTGAACTGCTCATCCGTAACTTTACAGATAGAGTCACATTTGTGACATTTGAGTGACATTTGAGAGAATGCACGACGACGATGCTCCAGCCCACCACTGCTGTACGGTAATACGTCTGATTTTACACGATTTTTCTATCTCCCTTTTGTAAGCATTGCCACCATTTTACTGCGCATCCAATCAACAGTGAATCCTGTCTTAGCATTCAATCGTCAGCCAATCAGAACATAACAATTTCCTATTCTCGCTAGAGAATAGAGTGCGCTGCGGCCGGATAGTCTTGCAGATACCTTAGGTACATATCTACATATGTATCACTGTATTCTGTTCCATAGTAATTCATTTTAACTGAATAAAAGAAATTTAAATAACTTAAATGTAAAATGTAAATGTGAGCAAAATAAGAATATGAATTGTAAAGAAACAGAAACAAGAAATCTAATTTTGTAATTAAGCAACAATTGTTAATGAATATTTGATTTAAATTAATAGGAATACATCTTTACAGTTTGAGCTCGGAAACAGAAGTCATCTTTTACTTCTTTACAATTAATTTTTGTTTATTATAATTTCAAAAGTGTGGAAGATAGATAGTAAGATTTCTGTATGAAGTAATGTTAAAATTCTTTTGTTGAAACTTGTCCTGCACTGAAAATAGGAGCATAATAATAGGGATAAACTTCTTTCAACGGTTGGCACCATTGGTATTTCATGCTGTTATAAGCTGCATTGGTCTTTTGCTTCCGGTCAATCATGGTGAGTGAAGTATTGTTTTAAATTTCATCATATTACACTTAGAGTTTGTAGTATTGATACAAAAGTTATTGTTTTTATAAAGTATCTTCGTTTAGGTTAAATGTCTCTCCATTTATTTCATCTATTTCTTGCACTCATTTGTAAAGTTTGAAATATTATTCCACATAACCTAATAATTACATCGGTTTTACACCACATGGTAGGAATATTTATGACTTTGTAAACGAATGTGTATATATCTCTTATTATTAAAACAAAGTTTAGTATATGAATTATAAGATTGTTATCAATTAATATTTGAGTAAAGAAAGATGTTTTTATTTTTAAACAGCCATTCCAAAGGTTTGTTGAATCCGGCCGCATTGCCTACGTGAGCGACGGCCCCTATCAGGGCAAACTCGTAGCAATTGTAGATGTCATCGACCAAAATCGGGTAAGAATATTTACTTTCTTTTTATTACTTAATGTATTTAAAGTTATAATGATGATCCAGTTTTATTGATAGGAATTGCCGGCTGATACTTGATGCCAAATACTGCAACTGATATTAACTATACTCGTTTTTATGCAAACCAATAGAGTAAACTTTGTATTATAGTATTAATTAATTTTTAGGTTTTGGTTGATGGACCTTCATCACATGTACCACGTACTGGAATGAGGTTAAATCAGCTCCATTTAACTAAATTCCGTATTCGTTTCCCATATACTGGATCCACCCGTGTTGTACGCAAAGCATGGGAATCAGCAAACATCGATGAACTTTGGAAACAGACTATGTGGGCAAGGAAGGTCGAAGCTAAGAAAAAGGTAACTGTAACAGTATATTTTGGATTTAATTATTTTAATTACCCTGTTATTCTATTTAGCAGCATAATTATTTAATGGTTTATAGCACTATACAGAACATTTCTCTCTTTCAGCGCTTGGAACTTAGTGACTTTGACCGTTTTAAGTTAAGAAAAGCCAGACAAATTCGAAACAAGTTGAGGACTAACGTATTTTACAGATTAAAAAAGAAGGTAAAAGGAACCAAGTCTGCTGGTGCAAAAAAAGACGTTGAAAAGAAGTAATTTTTTACCTTATGAAATAAATACAAATTTATCTTATAACAGTATCTTTGTTTTTATATACCTTTAATTTTTAACAATCTTACAGCAAATAAGTGGACTATTTGTAAAATAATATTTAAACAATTGATTCAGTAATATTTTATATTTGTACGTTATTTATATTTAATATTTTTATCATCAGCAAGAAAAAACGAAAAATTTATAGGCAAGAGCGTTATTGAAATATATAATCAATCTGTCTTTTGAACCACGTGACATAATCGCGCTATTTGCACGTAACTATAAATTACATAGAGAAATTGCATACTGTATACACTAACTGTGGAATAGTGTTAGACAAAAATTTAATGAACAGTTGAGATTAAATTCGTACTTTACCATTTAACACGTTTCAATTTTAATTGTCAATTGGTTTATTAATTTATGATTAACTACTTTTAAAAGCCTTTGGCTTCATTTTATGTTTTTCCTAGTCATAAGTCGATACAGTTAATAATAAAATTAGAGCAGAACTAACTGCGTAGAACAAATGACAGTTTCTTTTAAGCGACGATTAATGTTCTCCTTTGATTAAAGACTTTAGTTGATATTTGACGATTATTTTTATTTCTTGATTAAATTAATCGTCGATATCCTACGATTAATTTTCTCTTTAATCAATATGTAACGATTTATTTAATGAATCCGTTGGGTCAATCGTTTAATTATTTTTTTTAATCAGAAGTATGATACAAACAAACAATTTTTGTGCTCAAATCAGTGGTGCAAAAAATCATTTTTATAAATTTATATAAAATGCATATAATAATAATATAAAGATATACTTTCGTATTCGCGTATCAACTGCAACTATTATTTTTTACTTTTAAAAAGTTTGGTAGTTGATAGACATTTTTTTATCAGTGTCCAATTACACACCCAAAGTGGGGGGGGGGGGCGTAATCCAGTACCGTTTAAATCTAACGAATCAATGCCCAAACGAAGGACTCCAATTTTCTTATTGGCTAAGAAGGAAGCTAGAAAAAGATTCAAGACTCCACAAAAAACGTCAGACTTTACTCAGAGATTATAGAGTACGCATCTTAGAGTTCAGAAAGTAATTTTCTCTTGCTATATTTTCGTTTAATTTGTTCTCAGTTGAATTCTTCACGAATAGAGAGCGCTTTGGCGCTCCACGGGCATCTGAACCACAGGAGATCGTTACTGCCGAGTATGTAGTTCTAAAAGCCCTAGCGTGCACATCTAAGGGAATGGCTTGCCAGTGCCATCTATTCCCACACAGCACAATATGGCTGAAATATTGATCTGCCCTCGCGTTCGTTTCATAGTCCCCGTCCACAAGTCCAGTTTATGCTCAATCCTTTATGTTTAGGTTGCTTTAGGTCCACGAGTTTATTATAATAAAGTACCGCAAATACGCTGGACTGGGTGGTCGAGAATCCTATGGGGCGAAAAGTGCAAGTCGAATATCGCGCTACGTGTTTCAGATGGAGCACCAAGCATATGGATGCGCGAAAAGAGTGAGATCGCAAGCACGATAAAGTGAGACAAGCTACATTGGTCGTCGATATGACTTATTTCGCTTGTGGTTGTGCTGATATTGTGCTCTCTTTCTCACTCGCCACTCCCTCTCTTTGTCTAAAACCGTGAGGGCAGCACTGTACAGCTGTGAAGCATCACCAATCAGATTTCTCTACCTTCCTCATTCTTCTAAGCTGGTTGCTTCCGCTTCGCTTACTACGGTGAGGCATGACTGTACTTATTAATATAATGAATAACTTCGCAAAATTAATCAGCGATTACATATTATATGAAATCTTGGCACTAATATGGCTGCTTTATCTGTGGAACATTTATTTAAACTTTCGTCAGGTGAATTATCTTTAACCTATATTTTCTATATATTCTATTAACATGTAGCGTTGTACATACAATATCTTTAATGAAATTAAAGATATAACATAATTTTGTCTAAAAATTGTTTGGTATGTGGTAAATGTTTACAATTTAATGTTTAAATACATTACTTCTAAGCATATTACCATTCTGTAACTATTCTATTAATATTATAAATATTATATTAATTGACTATTACAATGTCACTAATTTTAAATAACTACTAATTAAAAGTGATTTATTTGCACTTTGTTTAGCTCAGATCAAGAAATACAATAAATTCTCACTAATTGATGTTCGGATTGTGCACACAAAAATGGACAATTTGAGAAAAGAAGATAGGATTATTCGAGCCTTGCGTCTCGCTTTTATACTTGTTGACAATCGGTAACTATAAAAACGGGCCGCAAGCTCGGATAATCGTATCTCCTCTTCCCAAATTGTCCATTTTTGTGAACAATTCAGCGTCAATTAGGGAGAATTTACTGTATTATCATACTGTAAGTAAAAATGTAGTCTTTTATTTACAAATTAATATCATATTAAAATTTTGAAAAAGTTAAAATTTTTAAAAGTTGACATTGAAATTTGTATTATTTTTATATTTACGAAAAAATAATGTATAATATAATTTTATGTAAATTTCACTAAATTAATTTTCTTTAGCGAAATTTGATAAAAAAGTTGGTCGAACCACCTCCGGCTGTTGATGGTATTATGACAAAAGATGTCTATGATAAAGCACGCCTTTATCATATGGATAAATTAAATTTTGATGATTTTTCAAAGACCTATATGCATTTATTTACTACGGTATGTATATTTATTTAATTTTTATAATGTATACACAATATGAAAGTTTGAACATTGCAATCAGGTACATGAAACTGATATGATTTTGATACCAGTAGTGTATTAATAAGGCTGTACCAAAACGAATATAATACCGAAATTGCTACTGTATCGAAATGTATAAATTTTTTCTTCTGATGGGAGATATAAATAAGATGATTGATTTTATAAGCAATATGTTTATAAGTCTTACTAATTTAATTATACTCTAATATAAAAACGTAGATATACTTTAATATAACAAAATATAACATAACTACAGTCACAAGAAAGGACATAATATTTTGTTTGTTCTCATTCGAGCTTAGTGACTGCTGAGTAACCGCTAACTTGTAATATCGTATTCATCTCTATTTACAAACATAGTATATATATTATTATAAACATAGTCTGCATACCAGTTCTAAATATGTGCTTGAAAATACTTTAGAAATAATAATAAAATAGGGAAACCAAAGAAGTTATTGATAAATATATTGGTATTTTTACACAATAACGATATGGTGTAATACTGGTATTTTTGTATATTGGTTTCTATAAAGGTTTCAAAGATACAACCTGGTAGAAGGCCCTGATTGGAATGCAGAATAAAGAATTGAAAATGATATATAATTTTATTCATTTGTAGGTTTTCCTATTAATGTTTGGTTATCATCATTTTTGGCAATGGAGCATTGATTTAGGAAAGCACTTTGGTCTCACTCGTGAAAATGAAATTCTAATAAGTGCTATTTGTATGTTTCTTATATGTGTGGGTTGTACCATTATTGGTTTACCATTAGTGGTATATCATACGTTTGTTATAGAACAAAAACATGGGTTTAACAAAGAGGTAAACAAATTAAACATTCTCCTATGGTTTAAACAAAATTTATAAATGGTCTGTTATCCAATTTTTTATTGTATTTATTGCTTTCAGACACCATTGTTTTTTATCAAAGATCAGCTTCTTAAGTTTCTTGTAGTACAAGCTATTGCCACACCTCTTTTATGTGTTGTAATATCAATTGTACAGAATGGAGGAGATTATTTCTACCTTTATGTTTGGATTTTCTCAATCATTGTTACTCTCTTCTTGATGATTCTTTATCCAGAAGTTATTGCACCGATCTTTGATAAATATACGCCCTTTCCTGATGGAGAATTGAAGACTAAGATTCAAGAACTGGCAGCTTCAGTAGAATTTCCACTTTATAAGTTATTTATTGTTGAAGGATCTAAAAGATCTTCACATAGCAATGCATATTTATATGGCTTCCATAAGAATAAGAGGATTGTATTATTTGATACTTTAATAAAAGAGTTTTATAAACTAGGAGAAGGTGAAACAGAAGCAAAAGGATGTGAAACAGATGAAGTGTTAGGAGTATTAGCGCATGAATTAGGACATTGGAAATACAATCACATATTAAAAGGATTTATGTTTGCCCAGGTTAGCTGTGCATTTATTTTAATCTTTTAGTTTGATATCTTACATTTATTTTGTAATTTTACAGGTGAGCTGCCTGGCAAGAGTGCTTGTGTATGCTAAACTTTTAGATTATGAACCAATATATATGGCTTTCGGCTTTATGGACTCCAAACCTACTTTCATAGGACTTCTAATCATCACCTTGTATATTTTAATACCATTTACAACAGTAAGTTTACGTTTTTTCTTTATAATTGTGTAACACTTTTAATTCTTCTGCATTGAAGATATGTTTAATAATATTATTTTTCAGTTATTAGAATTTGTAGCAGGAATAATAGGAAGAAAATTTGAATTTGAAGCAGATAGATTTGCAACAATTTTAGGACATGGTGAAGCGTTAAAAAGATCATTAATTAAGTTACAAAAGGATAATCTTTGTTTTCCTCTTTTTGATAAATTATATTCATGCTGGCTGCATAATCATCCTCCATTACTTGAAAGACTGGAAGCTATCGATAAAGAAAATTGATTATATAATTAATTTTTTGTAAGAATAATTACATCATATTGTATAATCTTTTAAAAAAGTAAACCCGATATCGATGTTACTCGATTGATTGACTAAAAATTCAGTTCCAGATAATGTAGATTTATTTTTTAAGATACTCTAGCTTTACAACTTATAATGTACTTATTATAGAAACAATTTCAATTGATATCCTCGATTTAAAATCGTAAAGATTCCGAGTAGTCACTTTAATATATTACATGGAATTAAATTGCTATATGTATATCTAAAGTAAACGATCAGCACTGATGTGTTGAATTGTGGAAGATACGAATTGTATTGAGGACTATAAAATTTTAGACCAGATATGCATATTTAAACATTCAGCATTTATAACAATATGTAAAAGTGTGCAGTAGTGTGTTTTTTTCGATATTAACAAAATAAAAATTATGATTAACCTTTTTAACTTAAGAATAATGTATAATGTATTCAAATAAGCACAAAATATTTAAGATAGCTGTGCACATATAAGTATATAGTCTTTTTTTGTATATTAAAGAATTTTGTTATATATTTGTATCTCTCCATCCTTTGTTACTACTATATAGTTCTTAATTACAAAAATATAAACTGTACGAACATCGGTGAACAACTGGGAAGCAGGTGATATTACATGAAAAAACAAATCGACAGTAAGGAATAGAATTTTTTCATTTGAGGTTTCGTTGTCGAGAAAATCGACTTCGAATATTTAGTGAATATGCGTAGATGTATGGTTCAGAATCTCGAAATACACAATCCGTTTATATAAAAAATATACAGTTACATTTAAAGAAAAAAACCAAGGTCACCTTGAAATGTTTAGGTGGATATCTCGTCCATCCAAAAAATATTTTCGATCATTATAAGATGTTTCTTTCGAAACAGGGTAAGTTTCATTTGACAGTTAGTTGATCTTTTTTATCAGTCACATTAACAAAATGTTTAGAAAACAAAATGTATTTTTTGTCTCATGCTTAGAAATAAAACATACAAATATATATACACAGTGCCCAATTACCACTACGTACGATTATCTCCAAAACTATTCGTTATTAGAAAAAATGTTTCATACGAAACTTGTTCTATTTCGAACGTTTTCTGCAATTATTGAACAAGCATGTTAGCATTCCGTACATGTATACATATATTTCAAAAGCGACTTTCTTAAAAGTTAACATAATACATGCCAAAAATAATATAAATTTTTTATTATAGAGAGTTACGAACTTACACTGTTAATTTAAATCCATTGTTTTGTACGCAATTTGCATTACCCCTAATTTTAGACCAATTAAATAAACCACCAATGGTTTTGTACCTAATTGAGTCAGCAAATAATAACAAAATCATAAAATTTGTATTGATTCGATTAAAAATAGACTTCAATTTGAAAACCTAGTGACAACTTTAAATTAAACTTCACTCTGTCGGCTGTACCTTCTTACAATTTGTCGAATGATTTTCAGTTTAAAAACGTTGTTCGCTCTCTCTCGTTTCACTTTTCACGTATTGAAAGGAATTATTAGGGTTACTTACTATATCGAACTATGTAATGAGAGAGATTACTATACAGACAAATTGAAATTTTGGTTTTTGCGTTTTAAAGAAAATTTTTATCATAACTTAAATTTTCTGCTGTGAATGTGTAAAGTATAGTGGGTAGTCATGTTTCAATTTTAATCGCACTAGCTTTTATTTTGGCATTTAATAGTTTTCGAATTACACAAAAAAAGTATGCTCATTGTTAATTTGAAATGAGCGCACCTGTTTTCACTTTTGTATGAAAAGAGATTTGGCCAATTTAACCTGCTCCATTTCTCTTCATTCGCTAAAACAACTTCTCGCTGTTTTTCTATTACATATGACCTCCAAAGTATCTGCTTTAATTATAACAAATAAACAAATTTGTTATATATTTATTATATATATTAAATTACAATTTGAATGCTGTTGAATATGGTGAGTATCCTGCAGGGTTTGTTTTTTTGTTCACTCCTGCATTTTTCTTAGAAACAAATTTTAACTGTGACCTTCAGTTCTGAAGTTCAAGGTCATTTGACGATCATGTCATTGTGCATATTTAGATGTATTTATTCATGTGCTACGCGATACAATATGATAATACGATAAAATGTGTATAATTATTTAAAGAAACATCGATCACCTTGAAACTACAAAAAAGACGAGCCTTTGATGACCTTGATCGATAACCTTGAAATCTCGAAAGATATGACCTTTAAAAAAAGAACAATTTGGAACACAATATATGTTTCTTTGAACCAAACAATTTGTTCCTTAAGCATTTCCGCGTATCATTAGCGGCAGCAAGGATATTGCTTTGTAACAGAATTACTGAGGCATCTTATATATGCATGCTGAAAATTTCATTAAAATTGGTTAATGTTGTTATAAGCTACAAATACACGCGAGACATACAACTTTTCAAAACTTTCGAGATTTTCACATCTCTTAAGGCCTGTAGCTCGTACCAACGTTAACTAATCTCGCTGAAATTTTCAATATACATATAAGATATCGAGCTCTACGAAACATATTGTTTAAATTTGGAAAAACATAATTTTTTAATTTTGTTATCATTCGAACCAATTGTAAATATTTTTTAAATAATTGTCTAGTAAACTAGCGAGTACACAACATCGTAAAAAAGTTGCAACTATTTGGTCCAATTTTTAAAAATTTGTGATGTTTTAAAGAGTTTCCAAATATTAGCGTTACTCATTATATAATGATTTTTGTTCGTTAGTGCATGACACAATGATCTTAACAAACGCTCAGTTTCTTTGCCTGTAAGAACCGAGAATTGGTCATTAATCTGGAATTTTCGAAAGGGAGATCAACACTAAAAGGACTGGATCCTGAGCTGATACCTGAAAATCAAGAATAGAGGTCCTAAATAGATCCTCTACCTCTATTTTAGATTGATTTGTTCAATAATATCATACTTTCGCGAATGTCTAAGAGTTTTCGACTTTACTTTGACATAATTTCCTTATTATTTAAAATCTGACTTCGTTTTATAATATTGTATATAATATTGTATTATTGCTTAAGGATAAGAATAAAAATTGTTTAAGAAGCACGATATTGACAACTTTCTCCAAATATCGGCCTTTTGCTTACAAAGCTAATATAACGTGATATCAATAACATCAAATCTTACAGATATAACGTACATATTCACTTTCTTCGAACGCTACTGAGCATAAGTTGCGGAGATGTTTAAATATTTTGTCCATAAAATAAAGGCACTCAATGTAGCGTTTTTTTTAGATCTTCTTAATAATTACATAGTTGAAATATTGTCGCAAAATCTTTATATAACGCAGCCTGTTCCGCTTATCATCAATTATTTTATATAGATACCGAATGACAAGAAAAAATTCATGGGATAGTTGTTTTTATAGAAAAATATACGTATCTTATTACCAATTGTTCTTGCTTACGTAGATATTAGTGAAATCTAATTTTTCTAAGAATATAGATTTCAGTGCATCTTTGAATACGACGACTATTCTTTATGATCTGTATGTACATGCATGGGGCCAGCTTATTAGTATTTCCATCGGGCAGGCGTCTATTATGTTTCGATGTTTGTATTCCCACTTTTATTCCGATCATCCCAGAGGTTCTCATACGTAGTCGCAAGGACAATCCAGTGATCACTCGACCAAGTCGCGATTTATTATCGAAATTTCAATAATTTAAGTATCTCGACACGATGAAAGGCGTTCCTTTCGGTCAACAATTTCAAGCGGAATTAATATATAAGGAATTGAACTCATTGATAACACAAGCTGATCCAGACAGATCTTAAGTCTCTTTCGCCGTAAATTGAGTGCCTCTGTCGGAACACCTGAATACTTAATAAATGGATAAAATTAACATTAATAACGACTGTCTGTGACCGATCCACATCTTATCCGACGACAAACGCATTCGACAGTCCTGCGTGGTATATGCCTTAGGAAAGTTTCTCACAGGACAGGATAGATCAGTTCTTTTACATTTGTACAATTACTTATATCTCCGGTGTGATTAGGTATTTTATTAATTGTTAAACGATTCGTTCGCCAATATGGACCTAGAGGAGTATACTAACGAGCCGCTGAGAAACGAGGTAAATTTAACATATTTCAACCCCCTATTAACCCTTTGCAGTCGAAGCTATTTGAATTCGAAATCCAAAACATGATTTCTGATCTACAGTATTTCTATTTTATATAATTTATTGCGATTCATGCGTATGAAATTGAGCCTGTTGGCAAGTACAATGCGATTTTAATAGTTTTTTTTTTAAGTATAAAAGAGTCTGATGCTCTTAGAATGATTTTGAAANTTATAGAAAAATATACGTATCTTATTACCAATTGTTCTTGCTTACGTAGATATTAGTGAAATCTAATTTTTCTAAGAATATAGATTTCAGTGCATCTTTGAATACGACGACTATTCTTTATGATCTGTATGTACATGCATGGGGCCAGCTTATTAGTATTTCCATCGGGCAGGCGTCTATTATGTTTCGATGTTTGTATTCCCACTTTTATTCCGATCATCCCAGAGGTTCTCATACGTAGTCGCAAGGACAATCCAGTGATCACTCGACCAAGTCGCGATTTATTATCGAAATTTCAATAATTTAAGTATCTCGACACGATGAAAGGCGTTCCTTTCGGTCAACAATTTCAAGCGGAATTAATATATAAGGAATTGAACTCATTGATAACACAAGCTGATCCAGACAGATCTTAAGTCTCTTTCGCCGTAAATTGAGTGCCTCTGTCGGAACACCTGAATACTTAATAAATGGATAAAATTAACATTAATAACGACTGTCTGTGACCGATCCACATCTTATCCGACGACAAACGCATTCGACAGTCCTGCGTGGTATATGCCTTAGGAAAGTTTCTCACAGGACAGGATAGATCAGTTCTTTTACATTTGTACAATTACTTATATCTCCGGTGTGATTAGGTATTTTATTAATTGTTAAACGATTCGTTCGCCAATATGGACCTAGAGGAGTATACTAACGAGCCGCTGAGAAACGAGGTAAATTTAACATATTTCAACCCCCTATTAACCCTTTGCAGTCGAAGCTATTTGAATTCGAAATCCAAAACATGATTTCTGATCTACAGTATTTCTATTTTATATAATTTATTGCGATTCATGCGTATGAAATTGAGCCTGTTGGCAAGTACAATGCGATTTTAATAGTTTTTTTTTTAAGTATAAAAGAGTCTGATGCTCTTAGAATGATTTTGAAAAATAGTATACCAAATTTTAGTGGCGCCTCAGAGTCGCCATTCGAGTGTAAAGGGTTTTAATAGAAGTTTAAATTTAAAGCAGAGTTCGAAATACGACGGGTGCCCTTCGTCGTTAAAAAATATTTGTTCGAATTTATACATTTCGTTCGATAAAACATCCGTTCCTGTGAAGCTTTTACGCAAAGTGTCCTTACTTTCAGTAAATGTTTCTGTAGAACAGGTATTTTGGAATCTGTATATCAAAAGTTCTATGGGAACAAATTCTTTTAGAACGTTTATTAAAAAGAAGTCTCGATAAAGTAAATACAACACCGAATTATTACATATTAGGGTTATTTAACAATATTATGTAATATTGTTTACAAATTAAACAAACGGGATAAAAATCAAACATGTGCGTTATCATTCTTTTAGAAATATTGAATAAAGAAATCAATTTAATTTTACAAACAAAATATTGTTTAAATTTATTTCAATTTATTTCAATTATTTTTATAATCATTCGATAGAAACTAAACAGTATTGAAATGGCATGTATAATGTTAACTCGCGTAGCAGGATCGCCATGAATAAACTAATACTGCTTTGTGAAGATACGTTTTATATTTCATCCTTTTCCAATAATCTAAGAAATTATTTTCCAAATTATTGGAATAACAAAAAATATCTATTCCTATTATAGAAAAACCTTTATCTTCTAATTTTATTCATTCCAATCAAACCAAATCTGTTAATCCCAAAAATTCTTTTATATCTATTCACAATTTATCAGAATGCATAATATGAGAACTTTTTTCAAAAAGTGTCACATATAATAAATCCTCTTTGCTCTTAAGAAAAAGTTCCGCAACTTTTTCGAACCCCGATTCAAAAAATTCTTATTCGATTTTTCATTAAATTTAACGATGTTTTGTTTAAAAAAAGGATGACTATTTTTCGTGCCAAATAAAAGGGGAATCATATTTTTTAGTCGGAGAACGATAGCAATAATGAAGATTGTGACCGTTCACCGGTATTGTTAGATCTGGACAAGAACTCTAAATTGCAACAACAAGAAATGCTGCAGCAGAAAGACAGTTCTCCAACCAAGTTACCACCGATCAATCACTACTTGCAGAGTCAACTAATTGGAAACGAATCAGGTATTTGGAAGTATACACTCTCGGACAAAAATATAACTCGCTGTAAGAATGATATCATTTCTTTTTATTGAATAATATAAATTAAATTATGATTAAGTACATTTATTCAAGTGGTCTTCAGAAAAATATTCTGATAGAAAAAATTTGTATTCTTGCACAGTTGACTTATTACTTCATATAAAGAAAAGGTAAATATTGCAAATAATCAAATGCAAATGATAGCCCATTTGTTATGAAATAGGTGGATGGAAACGAGTGAAACGATTGTGGTTAATGTTTAACGCTAAACCTTTCGAGCCAGATAATGATCGTTTTCACAGTGTTTGTTTAAAAAATGCTGAATTCTTAACTCAACCATACATTATGATAAAAATGGAGGGAGGTCTAAATAAATACAGTTTTTTCGTCATTATAAAGCAATACGCGTTAATTATGTTTAAGACTCGGTAGGCTTAATGTTAATACTTCCTGACAATCCAGGTTTAGATTTAATTACCGTAATCGTTTTTCTCGGAAGTGATTTATATAGATATTACATAAAAGTACACTATATTACACTATAATAACACTGTTCGAAATCATTGACATTTTCCAATTATCTTCTATTTTTGTACACGAGTCCGTCCAGCAAGAATGTCCCATCAATTTTTTATGATGTTAAGATCCGGAGATCTTGTTAGACATTCAAAAATGTGCATTTTTTAACTAGAAGAGTATGCTTGTACCGGTTGGGCGCTATGATTAGTGAACGATATTTTTATGTGAAAGTGTGCCGTATAATAAATATGAAAACCGTATTCAGACGATACGAATATTTCATTGCAGAAGATTCAAGCATACCGCGGCAGCAAGCGGCAAGGAGAGGATGGCAGCATCGAAATTTCGAAGATCGCCAACAAAACGGCAATCGTGTGTTTGTGATAAGAGTGCCCGAACCAGAAGTGATTGCTAGTCATCCGCACTTGGAAATTCTTCACGAAGCGAACATTAAATCTGTACAGCGTGAATCGTCGCAAACCGAAAAGGGTGGGATTCAAGCATTCCTTAGAAGAAGAACGCGAAACTATGCAAACGAAATATCGTTCCACTCCAATGTTAATCTAGTCGGTGCTTCGTTTTCAGATTACAAAAAATCTGCTTGCGACCGGGAACGAACGAGGATGAGAGACATGAATCGCGCGTTCGAACTTTTACGGTCGAAATTACCAATCTGTAAACCACCCGGAAAGAAACTCTCGAAAATAGAGTCGCTCAGGCATGCCATAACTTATATCAGGCATCTGCAGAGTCTCTTGGAACCACAATACAACTATGTTCCGAACGTGCCTGAAAGGAGTTATTATTCTGCTGGTACACCCGTTACAACCACCGCATCTTTTGACGTACAACACCCAACTCGATGGGAATCGTTTGCTTACTATCGCTATGATTATTATACTCCCTTCGCAACCCCGTGCCCATCAGCACTACCTTCCCCTATTCATCCGCGAATAACATCGGAACCAGACGAACGACAGTTTTCGCAAGATCTACGACATTGATGCTCTTCCTCCAAGAATCGCTATGTTTCATAATATTTGTAAATTTGCGAAATGCAGAAACACGTTTTCTTGGAAGACATTTTGAGTACGGTGATTGACATTTTTTTTATTGTTACAAGCTTTGTAATAACAGAACCCTACTTATAGATTTCGGGGCCCGGAACAAGTCCGATCCTTAGAAAAGTGTATACAGAGTGTCCCAAAATGATGGGACTCTCGAGAAATGAGAGGTCCCTGAGGTAAATTGAAGTAACTTTTGGCGCGAGGCGGCCGAGCTCGCATTTCGTTGGTCAGTGTTTTTCGTTAATAACACGCAAACAAAGCTGCTGTTTGTATTTACGCTACGGAAAAAGTTGCTTCAAATGACCTCTTATTTCCCGGAAGTAACATAATTTTGGGACACCCTAGTATTAAAAATATATACAATCAAAAATAGATAATTGTACCTCTGTAACAATTACATTCATTTACTTTTTGTCAAATGTAGAAGTAATTAATACTAAATGCAGGGCTCGGCGCAAGTGCGCCGTTTGCCTGGTGTTAAGAGTGCGGTTCTGTATAATATAATCTATAAAAATAGACATTTTCAAAGAAATCTGCAGTATCCTCATCACTCTCTACAATCGTTTTACATTAAATATATATATATATAAATTATGTTTAATTTTATTTTAAAAGTTTTTGCAATTATTAAAAGTTATAGTGTTGATCAAGAAGAGGCGTTATCTAGTTAAAAATTCTACCGAGTCTAGATCTTCAACATCCCACGAAATATGAATTTTTCGACTAATACGATTTCATTTATTATATCAGTTTTATTTCGCACTGCTTTAAATAAACGCTATTCAATGATGATTGTAATTGTGAATCACATGTGATGCACGGTACAATGAATGTGTTAATTTTCAAATGTGTTATTTATGTTACGAAATATAATTAATTCTAATAAAAATTATTCTTATGTGCGATTTATATATATATATATATATATATATATATATATATATATTGATTATTATTTAATTATAATTATTAAAATTTAATATGAAATTATGTTATTTTATAAAATATTTCTCATAAATAGTGTAAACGAAGAACAACGTACCATGATTACGCTCTATGATTCGTACATACGTTTTTCAATGATCCGTTATACATGATTTCTCATAAGTTCATAATTCGTCACTTATGTAATATAATTTTTTTGCATAAATTTTTTTTTATATGCAATTCCTTAATTAAAGATAGATCATTTTAATAAATTATGATTAAATTCATTATTTATATGAACAATATAAATAAATAACATTTAATTATTAATTACA